TTTTTTATTGCAAACATTTACTATTGCAATCTAAGCATCATTTTGTAAGCCTTATGGTCATTTTCCATGCAGTAAAGTATGTTGCTAAGGAAATAGAAAAATGGGAACCTTTTATCTTCAGCTGTTGTCCCTAATCACGTACTTCTATAATTAGCCTATTGCATAGTAATAAGAATTATAGAAACTTATGTGTAGAATACCTGTATATTTGGAGAAGCCTTAAATGGGCCTTTTATTATGTTCTTGAGTCTTCTGTGGTTAGCTTCTCTGTGTGGATTCACTGCAGAGCAGAGGTGATCTTTCAGCTGTCTTAATATCCCATCTAGACCCCTTCAAGAGTAAATAGTTACCTAGCTTTGGGAAAATCTAATAAACAAATGATAGACTACCCAGTCAGCCAGGTTTTGCTAGTTTAACTTGTTAGACCAAAGCTTTAGGTTTTTATTAGTGAGAGAGCCTGGTTTTACAGTGCATTCATTTAAAAAGCACTCTGTGGTATTTTGGAATTAAGAAGGGAGGGAATCCTTGGATGATGTAAAAATTTGCCCAGATCCCCTCAGTAAGCTATATGAGATAACTAATGTTACTTGCGACGTGTTTCAGGATTTCGAATCTCAGAAAGAATTTGTAACCGTGTGATCATGAAAACGACCAATTTCATAAGTGAAAACGAGCATGCTTATTAATGGGGCTGCAGTCGTCTATTGCATTCAGTCACATTGATAACTAGCAAGGAGAATGGTTGTTTTGCATGATTTAATGTTTACACAATTACAGTCTTGGCAAAGCTTACTGTACTAGAGGCTTTGGAAAGAAGCATGTGGTCCTTTTGCAGGTAATAAATTGGAAAATCCAATTTGCAATTGCAGACTAAGCCTCTGAGTGATATATGATCTTCATAGCAGCATCTGTCAGAGGGTCATTGCTAATTACGACGCTGGCTGGCTTCCCCTGTGGCCTGGGCCATCCCACCGAAGAGTGAGCGGAGGGACTCTCTGGGAGCCAGCCAGCGTGTCTGTAGATGCACCACTTTCTAGCTTATTAGATCCTCTTTGTCACAGTGCTTAATCCTGCGGCCTGATCCTTGTTAGAACAGCAGCAGCGTGCCGCGCAGGCTGCCGATAACGGAGCTGGGCGAGGGCCACTAACTAGACGCACTGAGGCGTGCGGCGCTGAGGGCGCTTGCAGCCTGACTGACTGACGGCGGGGTGAGCCGCTTCCTGCATGCTATTACGGCAAAGGGGACCCTCCCCCAGACAGCTGACAGATGAGCTTCGCTGAGGCAAGCCTAACTTGTTGCTAGACCAGGATGAGGCGGGTGTCATCTTTTCACACGGTGTTAACGGCTTAGCTTTACTGTAATGATATTAACCCTCTTCTGCAGTGGCTGCATTCCAGGCTGGCGCTGAGCGAGGGAAGAAAGGCAGAGACAAATAGCCGGCCGAGAGGATTAGGGCTGTGCAGAGGCAGGTATTGTGTTCTCCACCAGTGACATTAAGTTGAAAAACAAAATAAGCACATCCTATTACGCCAAGCCCGGCGATAACTCTGAAGAGGCAGTGCCGGGTTGGCTCGCGGGGTTTCCATCTCTGTCATCTGTAATAGTCGCCTGCTTTAAGGTTTGCTATGGACATTAAACATGGTTTTCATGGTTCTTTGTTAAAAAGAAAACACAGTGTCAACGACAAAGCTATTGTTTGGGGTTTTTTTTTTCCCCCTCGCAGTGAACTTGATTCATTCTTTTCCATTAAGCTCCCTAGTTCTGGTAGCTCTGTGAAGCCCCCGTGAATGTGATTGAGTAGCATTATTTGAGATGAAAATAAACAACTGGAATGTACACATGAGTCTGAAGAGATGTAAATGAAAACGCTCCTGAAGAGCCCATGGGCCTTTCTGTTGAGCGGACTCCTTTTCCCCAAAGGCGGGGTGTGTCCAGCTGGCATCCCGCGCTCCCTGTGTGCTCCGGTGAGCAGACGTCATTAGCAGCCCCCTACGCCTCTTCTGTCTCCATTGACAGCACTTTAATAGAGACATTGCTGGGGATTGACAGATCTCAGGGGGTTAGAGGCATCAGACAAAAGGGCCCAGAGAACATGGCTGACCTTTCTCGGCATTATTCCCCTGGGTCTGTCTTCCGTGTGTTGCAATCAAGAAGCACAGAATATAGTACATCCCTTTCGGAGGATTATTACTCAGAAGGCTGCAGGCTTAGTAAGAGGCTGTTAATAAGTTAACAAAGTGGATATGTAGGTAGTTAGTAGTAGAATGCACCTGTACTTTAAGTTCAAGGGGAGCCCATTAAAATCTGCGTTACTCATAACACACCTGTACTTTTGGGTTAGTGGGGTAGGCCTCGGACCTGGGTAGAAGGGAGCTGTGATACAGCTTGGGAAAGAAGACAGTCTCCTTTCTCTCACTGTCCATGGAAGTCACCCCTGGGCATATTTAGACTGAGACTTGCCGGTGGGGTCCTTCCTGGAGCCTTTTCCTGGTCCTAACTGACCCAGGGTCCTGAATATGCAGCATGTTGAGAAATGCTCTGCCATCCCTCCTCTTCCTTCTTTTTCCCAGAGGAAAAAAAGTCATATTCTCGTGGTCCTCATCTGAACCAGGTGCTAAGAAGAAAGCAATTCAGTTGAGTTCATTCATGGTGTGAATGACGGGAAGTTGCAGGCGCGTGTACGACAGATAAAACTCTATCCATTAGAAATTTAGACTGTAGTCCTCTTTAGGATGACCAGTTTTGGTGGGTGGAAAGTAAAGATATTTAGGGAATAGTAGCCACTAACAGGGAGATCCTCTTTGCTTAAGAATTGGTTCATTTTCCTACGTAATTTGTGCTTTTCATGGCTTTTTTTTCCTCATTCACTTTGCATTACACATATTTTTCCAAAGATCTTAGTTATTTTTTTTCACATTTGGTTCCATGCTGATGTCAGTGTGCAGGATTTACAGGCAGAAAGATGATACTATGTAAGATTGTTTATTAGGTGAGTGTTTTAAGAGAGATGTGCTCATCTCTAGAACCCCTACCCCCAACTTATCAGTGAAGTACCACAACATGGTTACTGTCACCTGGTACATTGACCCTTCCCTCAATGACCATGCTCCCTGAGAAGAGTAGACAACATATCCACTGCATTTGAAACAGAACACTTCAGAAATAGCCTTGTTTTTAAACAGAAGACTTTTCTAAAAGTTTCTGTTATATTAATTTTTAGGAAAAGTAGATATGAAAAAAAAAGTTGTAAGAGAATGAATGATATGGAAGAGAGGACATAGAGTGTAGCAAACAAGATCCTAAGAGGAAATAAAAATGATAGAGAAATATAAACAAATCAGTTTCATTCTTGGGAATTAAAAAAAAAAAAAAAACCCAAGTAAAGATAAGAACAAAAATGGCAAATGGTAGCCCATTGCCAAGGTCCCGCCCAGGTAAGATACCCAGCTAAGCAGAATATGTGTAATTCTTGGATTTTCATTTGCCTTAAGCAGCTTTCTGACTCATGGATTAGAAAATAAAGCCCGTTAATTTCTCAAATGATTTAATATCTGACTAATGGTGTTTGACCACTAAGATGAGGAAATTGACAATATTGATAATCTTGGAGAGAAATGTATCTGCTTATTTTTGTACTTAACACCAACAGATTCTGAATAGCTTTGGAAAGATTATGATGAATTACTCCCTGTTGATATTTGGTAATATCTGTTTTCTTTAAAAGCATTTTATGAAATTGTAATCACTTTTATATTGGTCTTTTCTTTTTCCGTTTTTCTGAATAGTTGCAAGTTCGTATAACAAAAATAAGATGGATTCGAAGGATCTATTTTTTTGTTTTAAGAAGAAATTATGGTATCATCCTAGTAAAAACTTTCATTTATCTTTTCATTCCTACAGCTCAGATCAGCTAGGAAATGTATTTTGTGGTGTACTTGATCTCAGAATGTGTTTTCATTACCCTGAGTTATCAGTTATGACAAAATTGGCAGTAGAACCTCAGAATAGGACAGACGTTACTTTGGTTGAGTCCTGGGATGAATAATTGCTGGGCGTCTATGTTCCAAAAGCCTTGGGCTGTTGACCAGGAGTTTGAAATGGACTTTTTCAGTGGGACTTTTAGAAAAAGGCCTTCAGTGAGTGTGGTGCCAAGTAAAACCACATATATATCTCTGCTGCTTAACTTCTCTGTTCCTGACCCTTTTATAGGCAAGCATGATATAGGAAGCTGTTTGGAGCCAGAAGCCATAGGTTCATATCCCACACTGACATTTTCTGATCTTGGACATGTTACTTAATTTCCCCAAGTTTCCATTTATTTACCTATAAAATTATGTTAATAACTGATCTTAGGGACTGCTGGAGAATCAAATCGAGGGAATGCTTTAAAAAAAGGTAATTTGTAAACTGACGAGGACTGGACAAATGTGAGTTCCTGTCATTGCCATGTTAAGGAGCTTCATTTAGTGCTGATTCTCAGATGTGCTTATGGTACTTGAGTAACGCAGTAGTTTTATTCGGACAATGTTTTTCTCTTCCTTCACTTATATTGTTTGGCTGATAAAGTGATGTTGAATGGATGCGTCTAGATTAGATGGGACAGGCAGTGATGCATATTGTCAGGGTAGAATTTCAGGAGGTTCTAATATCACTTCTCTCATTCTTGGACAGGGTCATTTTGGTCTTTGTATCAAATACCTAGAAAAATAAAGCGTATGCTACATTTGTAAGAATTTCTTACAGGT